GTTTGATGTTGTTGTAACTTCAATTACATTATTTCATTTCAGATCTAAAGTTTTTAAAAGGCAGGGATAATTATATTTGGTTGAAACAAGGAATTGCTAATTGATCATTTTTTTACATGCAAAACAGCAATTGCTACATGTTCAACATAATACATTGAAAGTTCAGATGAATTATTTCACCTAATCTTCACAAACTGTAGGAAGTAGGTTCTATTGTCATTCTCGTTTTTTTACAAAAAGAACTGAGGTTTAGAGAGGTGAGTGATTTAATGAGAGATTACACAGCTAGCAATTGTTTTCATGGGTTTAGGTTCTTAAAAACATCATCTGACTACAGGACTCCTATTTGTAACTATTATACTGTATTGTCATTTTTGCTTGCTTTTTACAGTACTAATAATGGGCAATGTGCAACAGGACTCAGTACAAGCTTTTGAAGGTGCCACTACTTGGCAAGTTATCTGTTTATTGTAACATTGTAACCAACATTACTAATCCTATTTGATAAATACAAAATACAGCACAAGAGTGGGAAGAAATGGAACACAAATAGCTTGCATTCTGGCTCTTCCATTTACTATTTGAACTAAATCTTTATATATGTGTGTATATATATGTGTATATATATGGATCACCTGAGGTCAGGAGTTCAAGAACAGACTGGCCAACAGTCTGTTCTTTTGTATTTTTGTATTCTACTAAAAATACAAAAACTAGCTGTGTGTGTATATATGTATACACACACACACACACACACACACACACACCCCACTCTACAGATGAGTAGACTGAGGTTTCTGAGGCTTAGAAAGGTTAAAATATGACACAATATAACCCTCAAACCAGATACACATTTTGAATTAGTCTAAAGTTCATATGTGCATGTGATGTGATCCTTTCAATGAGAAATTTAAGGCAAGGACTGTTGCAGACCTCACCATAGTGTTGAGAATAAAATGTTAAGCCTTTAATATTTATTACTTTTTACATATAATTGATATAACTATAAACTGATAGCAAATACTATTGATGGCAACTATTGTAGCCAATGATGATTGGCTTATTTTTCAGTATGTGGATGAAGAGGACCTGATGAACGCCATCAAGGGTTTCAGCTCAGTGACTAAGGAACACACCACATTCACGGACACCCACCTGTAAATGATGGAAGCCCGGAAGACGTAACCCTGGAATGCAACCTCTGCACCCCTTTCCTCCTGGGTTATCACTGACATGTCATAAATGCTGAAAAGCCATTGTTTATTATCCTATAATTATTTAAAGAAATGACTGTTTTCGAAAGCATTCCTTCTTAATAGAGGTCTAAGAAATGATATTTTTCTAGTTGTCTGAAATGAGAAGTAATATTCATATAAAAATACTTGGTTTGCTCTTATTTTGTGGAAGACAAAGTATATAATTGTCACTTGGTTCTGTTTGGCAGTGATGCTACTGGTTAACTGAATAATCAGTGCCAATTTCAAGATGGTCTACAGTTGTTAGAAGTAGTAAGTTAGTTACTGGCTCAAAAACTAAATGATTCTATTGAAAGGATGTCACTGCTGTTCATTTCTATCTGCCATTTCTGTCAGGGTTGACATAATCCTGCAAGAACAGTTATTCTAATGATCACAGCTGCTAAATGAAATCCCAAACTTTGCACCAGGTCAATAAACTTTGCTGAAGGTTCTATTTATTTACAATATATAGGGTTACTCACCAAACTTTTTGACAAGGCAACATATAACTTACACATAAATGTCTCTGTTCTTGCATTTATGAATTTTCCAAAAATCTAAGGAGTAAAAGGCTTATTTATACATTTTGAAGGGAAAACAAAGTGTTTCAATAGGAACACCTCTACTTGAACCAATGTTTTTATTTCACATATTTTATAGTTTTGAAACTCTAGTTTCTCTTAAAATTATCAATTCACTGAATATCAGAGAATACTGGTATCTTCAACTTAACACATTGCAAATGTAAACTACTGTTCTATTTGCAATATTTAACTAGGCAGCATGAAATTTTAAAAGCAAAAATGTATCTGTTCCTTCTAGCATTAACATATATACATGTAAAGACAAGACTACACCTATGTGTATATATATCATGTATATATTACTCTGTACTATATCCCTTTTTTTCTGGAGAACTACCCATTATTTTAACCATAGAATCATTAAGAACAGATGATATGCAAGAGTACCAATTCTCATGGTTCAAAAATGTCTGTCATTTGCTCTAGTTGGATTACAAAGTCATTGGTCCAAGTCCAATGGCAAGAAAAATTTTCTTGCAAATCATCCACATAAAATCAAAGATATTTAAATTTGCTCTTCATGGAAAACAGAATAAGAAAACTTCTCATCTTCCTTCATCCTTAAAGGTCTTATTGACCCCAGGAAAATATTATGACTCTAACACACAATACTCACAATACTTTGTGAATCTACACCCAGAGGCAGGCATAAACTTGTAAAGGGATAGTCTTACTTACTCTGCCTGAAAACAATGAATTATCCCAGGGCCCAACAGTAAAAGATTATGGACTTTTGGGGTATTGAGATTTCATCCAGCTCTGTGAGAGAGCAGCTCCTCAGACTGACCAAATCCTAGACAGTTTGCCAACCATAAGTGTCAAAAGCACAGGCCAATATTAAGCAGAAGTTCTACCACCTTATTAGAACTGCTAAAAGCAAAAACATCTGAAATAAATGTGCATATCTGACAGTGACTGTACATAATATGAAATATATAGTTCTCGCCAAGTTTTTATACTTTCTGAAATGAAAACATAGGATTGACTAGTTTACTGATTTTTATTCCCATATGCCGATTCTGGGACAATTAAGTTAAGGCTGGCACAAATAAGCATTAACCAAGGTTGTGTTCAGCTCCTGTGAGCTACTTAAGGTATATAGGGAAGGAGTGGTCACAAACTTGCATCCTAATCCTCGGTGGACTCTTCTAAGAATAGTTTGCTAGTCACAAAGCATAGTCCACAAATACGCTTTGCTTGATTCAGAAGATTGAGCTTATCCTGATTTTTGAAAAATTAACCAGGTACCTTTATCGCTGTGTATTTTTTAAAGCACAGTATAAACTTTTGACAGAACACACACAAAAAATACAGAACTGCAGGAGATTTTATCTTGGATCATTATCCATTTAATCATCGAATTAGGCATGAACTCAGCTGAATCATTTACATTTTGAGTCCACAGCTTAGGGCAGACAGAAGCCTGTATAACTTCTGCCCAGAACACTGTCCCTTGCTACATGCCTACGTTTACTTGTATTTATACATTTCACAGAAGAACCCTAAGATGTTGCTTTGCTATTTTAAGTGGTATTGCGTGCCGAGCCTCTATTATACGAACTACAGGCTCGCCCCTAGAGCTTCTGATTCGGTTGGTCTGGGGTGTGTGGCTGAGGCATTAGTACTTCTTAAAGCTTCAGGTGTTTTCATGTTGAGAGCCACTGATGTTCCATAATCTGGAAGAAATCATGTACAGGAATAATATACTACGCACAGGGACTATGCTCCTTGGCTCACCACTTCTCCCTTACAAACAGTGAGCAGTTCTCGATGAACCTCTTTCAATTTAAATCTCCTGACTCACATTTTATCAATTGTACATGCCACATTCTCAGCTTAAGAACTACCATGTTTTGTTATTCTTAACTGTTTGATAAGAGTAAACAGTTGTTTTTTTAATAAACTCTAAGAAATGTGTTTATAGATAATCTATTGTAATTTTCACTAAATGGAACCCAAATATGAATGTTATGGTATCATATACTGATGTAAAAATCATGCTGGCATCCATGAACAACCAGTAAATAAAACATCGTCCAGGTGGAAGAATTCATTAATAAGCAACTTAATTATTTCCCAGTTATCACAAATGAATAGTTGATTTCCAATGCGCAAATATCATGTAAACTAAAGATGGTTTGCTTAATAAATATTTAAATGTGAACTAATTCTGGCTTAATATATTTATTAAAAAATACTCGTAACAGCTCTGAGTTACACATAAATGATAAAATTATACCTATTTAAGAAAGTAGGATGTTCTGGATAATTTCTCAACCAACAATGTACATTAGAATGAACTGTGTACTATTATGTGTCAACCAGCAGAGATTCAAATTCAGCAGGACTGCAGTGGGAGTGAGGCCTGGGCAACTATATGTGTCTAAACCAGCCTGGATAAGAGCCAGGAACAGGACCACAGACTCTTGAAACAGGAAGACTTGGGTTCAAAAGTTGGCTCAGTAGGTAATAAGCTGTGTCACTAAGTTATTTATCCCTCGTGGGTCTCAGTGATCTCATCTGTGAAATGAGGATAACATCACTTATCCTATTGGTATGAAAATACTTCTTTCCGTGAAAATTACGATTCTGTTTTCATTTTTCATCAATCACACAAAGTACACAGATTCATTTCAACTTTTTTTCTTCCCAACAGCAACCCTAATGAGGTAGATATAATGAAAAAATTTAGGCATAATGGGGTCAATCTGAGAAATTAAGTGTCAGAGTAGACATAAACCACTGCTCTAACATCAAGGTTCAATCTCTTATAAGCAAAAGAAACAAACAAGATTTGACTTGTACTATAATGCAATCTAGTATAGTCAGTTTCCTTTTTATGTGATTCTATCATGTAATAGTTACTACCTTCTTTTTAATGGCCTTTATTCCTGGTCACTAGTCTACTTCTTTCTTTCATTTTCTTACTTGCTCACCCAACTTTCACGTAACTGTGAGAAAGAGGAGGAAGGGTGTAAGATAATTACAATCTTAGTAATTTTGAAATTATGCTTTGCCTAATACTTTCTTTCATTGATAATATAACTTATTTTCCACACATATTAAGTTCTCCCTCCCCCCATTTTTTTTTAAATCATGGGAAGAAGCAAAGAAATGAACAAACATATATAGCACACTTTAAACAGAACTGTTCCTTAAATAACTGAAAACACATGGTCACAATCATTTTTATTTAATTGATAAATAAATACAAGAGAACTGTTGTGAAACCACTGGCAATATAGTAAACTTTAAAGATTTTATTTCAACTTCACTCACTTACATTTCTTGGAATGGGGATATATACATTATTCACCAATAAATGCTAATGCTTTAAATTTATAATTACCCTATTTGTAGAAACCTGAAGATCATTCCAATTAAATGAAAAAAAATTGTACAAAAAAGTTCTTTTGCTCTTACAATTCAAAATACATTCAAATTCACATTCTTACAGCAGCCAAAACCTTTAACCCAAAATTCAGAACTGCAGTTCCACAAGTGAATAAAATAGTGTTTTAATTTGATTATCATGATTGTTAACACTGAAAAAAAAATATGGTGGTTCCTAAAACAAGACAGGTTAGCAACTGGTATGGCTTTCCCTTCTGGGCACTCAAAGCTTTGCCCTTGATTATTTTTATTTCATCTTTTCAAACACAGACAATTGCTCCAACTTGAAAGTTTCAATGGAATTTTGGCATTGAATATTGCTAATGCTTGCTAAGATTTAAGAACTCCCAATGATGAGAATCAGAAAATGACGCACGACTAAATTAAAATCATCCTGAAAGACTTACTACATAGTGGTATCCGGTATTCAATATCAATAGTGTTTTTGAATAACATGTTTTTCACAAACATAGCACCTCATCAAATATCTGGTAAACACTTTGCAATCACAATAAGGGTTGGGAGACCAAGTTCCAAAGACAATTATGTGATTCACTTAAAGGTAACATTGCAAGACAAGTCTCAGGCATGATGAAGATTAGGAATGCAGTCTGCTGCTTCCCATGCTCTAAAGGGATGCTCACCTATATGGGCACCATCCTATTAAGATGTGGTACTATGTTTCCAAACCAATAAAAGTAGGTAAGTGTTAAAATGGACTCCTGCTTTATAAATGATCTGTTAAATGTACTTGTAAAATTAAAAAAATTTCCAAAATGTCAAAAGAGATATGATTATTGTATCTCATTATCCCAAGTAATTCTGTTAAAAAGATACTAAATGAAGTCCAATTTTATCTTGTAAAGTTTTAGTGTAAAAACTGATGTATTGAAATTCAGGAAAGTTTAACTTTCATCTAAATGTAACAAAACAACTATTCATTTTGGTGAGTTTTCACAAGCTGTACTCCTGACCTGAAGAATCACTTTTTTTATGCCGAGGAGATGGAGTAGTCTTTGTAGGAGATGGGGACGCAGTACCAGGGGAGTCAGTTCCTCCATCAGAAGTACTTGGTGATGAGACCAGATACGGAACTTTCTTTCTTCCAAGGAATCCTCCCCCTTCAAATCCTCCTTTCTTCCTAAACTCTATTTTATTTTCATTTTCGTCTTCTGATGACCTTTTCTTGGATTCTGAAAAACCTTCAGCTATTTTATGCACTTCCAATCCACTATCCAATTCTCTCAAACTTTTTATTTCTACTCCAGGAGACTTTCTCTCAGATATATTACATTCCCCTGTCGCCCCTTTCACTTCAGCTTGTATCGGACCCAAGTTACCATTTTCAGGGACAGCTCTTTCTACATTTCTGTTCAAATTAATAGTCTGGAAGTCCCTATAACTGTGAAAGCTCTCAGTCCTTCTTGCCCTTGCTAATAAAGGACTTTCTCTGTAAGGCCTCATGGAACCATAAGTAGCTGCTTCATGGATGGTATCATGGTGCTGAAGCTGAAGGCTGAAATACAGTTTTTAAAAATGACAGTTCAGATTTCACTCTTTGATTTTTCAGGAACATGTTAAACAACCAATAAAACATACTACATAAACATATAAAGTGTATTATATCCATATTTCTCTTTATAAAATATACTTATCAAGTGCTCTTTATTACATAGACGGTATATAAAATTACTAATGCAAATAATACCATCATATATTCACAGACATGCTGAATTTTTGAACAGCGAAAAAAAAGATGGGAGGAAAAATCCTTGAAACTAATATGAAACCAACATAATTCAGTATTTAGCCCCTGGTTCTTCAGACTTTGGAATTTATCAATATCATAACTAAAAAGACATTACAGAACTTTATATTACAAGTACATAATGTTTAAATGTAAGACTAGACAACATAATAGAATCACAGATTAATACTGTCCCTGAGACGGGACAGTAATTAAAGCTTCACATACTAACCAAGGTGACATGTGATTTTCCTAATTTCCTTTGAATAAATTCTTGATCACATAATAGGCTTCCAATTTGGCAGCAATTCACAAAATAAGTTAAAAGGCAAAAAATGTTTTTCTATGAAAAGAACCAGATATGCCTATCAAGAAATTTAGTAAAACTTAAAAAATTAACATAATGTCTGAATTTAAAATGTACCTTGAAAAGTATGGCTTTCTAGAACAACTATGTGATTACAGTATTTCAGTCAATTTCCCCAAAACAAATAAATTTTGTTTATAATACCCAACTCTTTAACCTACCTAGAATTTGATTCTCGTAAGTGGCTATGCTGAACTACAGAAGTTGCCGGACTGATGTTAGGAGTAGCACAGCGAGATGTGCTCAGATCACACTGATCCAGTAATTTGAGTAGCTCTTCTTCAGTTGGACCACCTACATCTTAGGAGAACAAATAGTCGTCATAATTGCTTATGTGAAAAGTTTAACCTCGTGACAAAAACATCTTTCTGCATGAGAACCTACCCTTATCTTCACTTTTGTTAACCATATCCATAGCAGTGGTCAGATCCCACATTTGAATGCTGCCATTTGTATGGCCTGTGAACAAGTAACGCCTTGGTCTCGAGCCCATCCTACTGGATCCTTCACATTCCCTCACTGTAAATGAAGATATTGTAGTACAGTCAACAGCCTGGATCTCACATATTCTGCAAAAGAAAAGCAGAAAGAGCCCTGATGGGAATGAGCAATTATTTAAAAAGAAGCTATGAAACTAAAAAGGCAGAAAGAAATAAAGAAAGCAAACATGGTATACTAGAAAAGACTTTTAAAAAATCATTTAAAATTTATGTGTAAATTTTTAAAATCTGAAACCAGAAGAAATACATAGTTCTATGGAGATAGCCCATATTGTATCCATCATTAGGATAATATTCTTAACTTTAAAAACAGATTTTTATGGCTATTTGATTTTCATAAAAGATAAAAAGAACCTGAGAGAGAACAATTACTATCCACATTAACAAATGAGGAAACCAAGGGATAACATCAGTAAATCATTTTTCCAAAGTCATGTAAGGGCTACCTGAATTGTACTTGGCTGAATTAGTTATCCCAGCCTCCTTCAGAGTTGAGGGAGTTTATTAAAAAAGAAAAATCGGTACAGGCAAACACAAGGTCAAAAAAATAGACAAAGAAAAAATACCATCCACATGAATCTGAGAAACATACAGGAATAGAGTATGAAGCTTAGATGAGCTTCCTAGTAGGCCGGACAAAAAGGAGGGAAAAAGTTAATTCCTACATGCCCACATGTAGTGATAAAGACTATCCTAGTCTCATTCTTGATCTCAAGGTTTGTGAATACAGAAATAAACAAACCAAAGTATTTTTCCTGTACTCTCATGCAACAATCAACTCTAAGGAAAGTGAAAGTTTATCTCCAAATGCCCTTTTAGTTATGTGGGCTCTTGGCTGGATCTAGAAACCAAACTGACACCACACAGACTGACAAGAAAGAAGTATATAGGTTTTATTAGTTTTACATGTACATGGGAATCTTCACAAGAGAGTGAGGCCCAAAGAAGTGGCCAAAGCAAGATGCTTTTATACAATTAGACAAAGAATGATAAACTGGAGAACAAATGACAGGATAAAGAAAATCTGACTAGAGGCAGTACATTTCTAACGGAGTCACTAGAAGATATGTATATATTATATATATAGTGGGACAATGCAAAGCTAGTGGAAGGTAAGCATATTCACTCAGGTCCACTGCAGCCCCCAGTTCCCACTCTCTTGTCCTGGTACAGGGAGGATAACACTCCCAGAAAATCTTTTGGCTTGCTGCATGTAAAAAAAGAGAGAGGTCAGCTATCCCCCTCTGAAATGACAATTTATCCAATGTTTTCTCCTCAAAATAATCAATATACCAATTTGGCATATTTTGGAGTAGAATGTCCTTCACTACTTCACAACAAAAAGGGTTCTGTGACCAAATGGGGTGGAGGGGTTCACCAAACACAAAGCAAGCAATTGATTCTCCAGCAGACACCAGCTAAGTATCCTCTAACTCAATTTAATTCTGACACTGTCTGTCATATCAGCTAGTGTGACAGGTAGAAGACTCAGTCTCACAAAGCTGAGCTCCACTTCAAAGGCTGATCACAAGCCTCAGGTTATTTTGCCTGTGCTTCTAACTGACTGACTGTAAATCAGGGTTCCCACAGCCTCCTCCTTAGGTTCAATTAATTTCCTAGAGTGGCTCACAGAATTCAGAGAAAAACTCGCATTCACTGGTTAATTACAAAGGGTACAGATGAACAATAGATTCCCAGGGTAAGGTGTGTGGGAAAGAGCATGGAGCTTCCATGCCCTCCCTGGGCACGCCACCCTCCAGAACCTCCAGGTTTTCAGCTACCTGGAAGCCCTCTGAACTCAGTTATTATTATTATTTTAATGGAGGCTTCATTACATAAGCATGATTGATTAAATCATTGGCCATTGATGATCAACTTAGCCTTCAGCTCCTCTCCCCTTCTCAAAGGTTGCAGGGTGGGGCCGAAAGTGCCAATCTTCTACTCCCGTCTTGGTCTTTCTGGTGACCTGCCATCAGTCAACTCACTGGCATACAAAAAGACACATCATTTGGAATACTTCAAGAATTTTTGAAGGTATATACCAGGAAGCAGAGACAAAGACCAAATACATATTTCACAATATCACACAAAGGAAGTTTTTAATATTTTGCCAATATAAAGTTTGAAAGAATTATTTTCATGGACATTATCAGATTTTAAAATTCCCCCTTCTTTTAGCTGCTAGGGTTTTTAAAAATCATAAATAGATGATGAATTGTCAGATTTTATTCCTGTATCTATAAAGATGATCATAATTTAGTGAATTACATTTATTTTTAAATAATATCTGTAAATTGATTTAAAATGTTCAACAACCCCCTCTTCAGATTCCTGTTAATGTTTCAAATAAAACAAATCAACATTTGTATGCATATGAAAACTTGGGTCTCAGAAAATACCCTCAGAAGCAAAGTTTCTCTCTGACCTGCAAGGCAAACCATAGAGACAATCTTCTTTTTCCCCAAGGTGGGTCAGAGAAACCAGAACCCTCTTTCCCCAAAGCTAGCCATGAAGCATAAAAATATTACCCTAACATTTCCCTATCTTTCTGTGAACAGCTGGCCATAAAGAAATTAAGGCCCTCACTACAGAGGGGTTCTGCCCCATCCCTGGGAGAAAGGAACGCCACACGGAGACAGTTCCTGCAGGATTTCTCTACTCAGTCTATTTGTGTTAACTTACACCTTTTTGTCCAGTCACAGTTCTACATGGCTGTCCTTGCGTTTTCTAACCTAAGCATAAAAGCAGACACTTTTCCCTCTGTCTTTGGGTCTTCATTCTGAAGACTCTTGTGCCATATAAAGCTATAATAAAATCAATTTGTAATGTTTTCTCCTGCTAGCCTATCTTTTGTTATAGGGGTATCCACTGTGACCCTAATGCTTCTACAAAACAAACATAATTTTGCTCTTTTTTCCCCCTATGGAATAGATTTTTAAAAATTACTCCTTTATATTTAAAATTTTCTACAAGGTTTTTTTCCTGCTTCCTTTAAATAAAACCCTTTCATTTCACTTCTCACTATTAGGAGCCTGAACTGTCCTTAAACAAAATCTTTGGTTCACTATAGCTTTATAAAGGGCTGATTTTCTATTCAATTCTACAGAGTAATTTCTGCATGTTACTTTTGTAACTATAGCTTTTCCTTTGGAATCATAAACTTAAAAAATATAAAATTTGTTTTATCATGCAGAAATTGTAGTTGATTATAACACACTGTTACTGTTAGAAATAACTGAAAGGGGGATATTAGAAATAACAGAAGAGGGGATATTAGAATTGAATAAGTAAATATGATATACTACATTGTTAGAGAATGTTATACCAGTTTTAATAACATTTCGCAATTTCTTCACTGAATATGCAGAGAACACTAAATCACAGTAATTTAGGGAATCTGAGATAATGAATTTTAATCTAAAAAATTCACTTCTCAAAGAATTTATTCATCAAAATATTAAGAGATATGTTGAAAATGCAACCATAAAATTTTAAAATCAACAGGATTAGTAACATTAAAATGAAAATCAAATGATTCTATACCTAGAAAACCCCATAGTCTCTGCCAAAGGCTCCTAGATCTAATAAACAACTTCAGCAAAGTTTCAAAAAACAAAATCAATGTACCAAAATCAGTAGCATTTCTATACAGCAATTATCATTAAAACTGAGAGCCAAATCAAGAATGCAATCCCATTAACAATAGCCACAAAAGAATAAAATACCTAGATATACAACAAACCAGAGAGGTGAAAGATCTTTACAACAAGAATTATAAAGCACTGCTCAAAGAAAGCAGGCAACACAAACAAATGGAAAAACATTCCATGACCATGGATAGAAAGAATTAATATTGTTAAAATGGCCACGCTACACAAAGTAATTACATCAATGCTGTTCTTATCAAACTACCAAGGATATTTTTCATAGAACTAGAAAAAACTATTTCTAGGCCAGGCACAGTGGCTCATGCCTGTAATCCCAGCACTTTGGGAGGCAGAGGTGGGTGGATCACGAGGTCAGGGGATCGAGACCATCCTGGCTAACACGGTGAAACCCCGTCTCTACTAAAGATGCAAAAAATTAGTCGGCGTGGTGGCATGCGTCTGTAATCCCAGTTACTCAGGAGGAAGAGGCGGGAGAATGGCCTGAACCACGGAGGCAGAGCTTGCAGTAAGCCCAGATTGTGCCACTGTACTCCAGCCTGGGCGACAGAGTGAGAGTCCATCTCAAAAAAAAAAAAAAAAACTATTCAAAAGTTCATATGAAAGAAAAAAAGAGCCCAAATAGCCAAAGCAATCCTAAGCAAATGAACAAATCCAGAGACGTCACACTACCCAACTTTCAACTATCCTACAAGGCTACAGTAACCAAAACAGCATGGTACTGGTACAAAAACAAACACACAGACCAATGGAACAGGATGGAGAACCCAGAAAACAAAGCCACATACTTGCAACCACCTGATCTTCAACAAAGCTGATAATAAACAATGGGGAAAGGACTCTCTATTCAATAAATGGTGCTGGGATTACTGGCTAGCCATTTGCAGAAGATTCAAACTCAATCCCTTCCTCTCACTACATACAAAATTCAACAGAAGATGGATTAAAGACTTAAATGTAAAACCTAAAACCTAAAACTGTAAAAACCCTAGAAGGAAATCGAGGAAATATCATTCTAGACATCAGCCCTGGCAAAGATTTCATGACAAAGACTCCAAAAGCAACTGCAACAAAAACAAAAATTGACAAGTGGGACCTTATCAAAGTAAAGAGCACTTGCACCACAAAAGAAACTATCAGCAGAGTAAACAGACAACCTACAGGATAGGAGAAAATATCTGCAAACTATGCATCTGACAAAGGTCTAATATCCAGCATCTATAAGGAACTTAAATCAGCAAGTAAAACACGACTCCATTAAAAAGTGGGCAAAGGACATGAGCAGACACATGTCTGGAGGTTGCAGTGAGCTGAGATTGCGCCACAGCATTCTAGCCTGGCAACAGAGCAAGACTCTGTCTCATTCATAAGTAAATGAATAAATAAATAAAATGAAAACAATAACCTTCCTAATGGACTCTTTATAGGAATTTTACTTTTTTCATTTGTTTGACATGCAAAAAACTTTTTCCCTGCAACTTTTAAGTTCTGGGCTACATGTGCAGGATGTGCAGGTCTGTTACATAGGTAAACATGTGCCATGCTGGTTTGCTGCATAGATCAACCCGTCACCTAGGTATTAAGCCTGGCATCCATTAGCTATTCTTCCCGATGTGCTCTCTCTCTCCATCCTCCGTCACCCTCAACAGGCTCCCTGTTGTGTGTTGTTCCCTCCCATGTGTCCATGTGTTCTCGTCGTCAAAAAAATTTGTTTTTAAAGCAGAGAAATGTTGAAGTAAAATCTGAGGTTATAAATAATAATTTTAGAAGAAGTAAAATTTCAGTCAAAAGGAAGAGGAAATTAACTTCTACTGTACATCTATTATGGTTAGGTACCATGCAAGATATTACACGTTTGAAATTTATTTTATCCTATGATATCCTGCCGAAGTCGTTGAACCTTATTTTATAAAGAAACTGGGCTAAGGGAAATAAAATAACTTGAGTTGCATTTACATAGCTAGTAACAGGAAGTGTCAGAATTAGTTCAGCAAAATCACTATGTTCTTTAAGTTTGAATAGAAAAGAAAAGACTAAACAGAGGAATACTGCCAGTGCCATATAATGGAAGCATAAGGGCAGCATTCACATACAAATACTGAGGAGACCGCATAAAGACAGGAATCCTGCTCTCACGGAGACAGATAATTTCTCTCCATGTTAAAGTAGACAGAAATTAGTCTAAAATAGAAAATAAAACATGGGTGCTATGTCGTAAGCTGTGCCAAGATTAATGCACATTAGTGTTATTAATTACTATTTGTCATTTTTATTTTAAAAGGGGATACTAAATGTCAGGAAATCTGTAATATGTTTTATTTGAGAAACATAAATAATGTATACAGATTTATATGGGATGGAAAATATTTAAGTTCTAGGTTTTTTAAAGAAAGAAACTGCTTATAATAACAAAATTAGTAAGTATTTATGTTTGGCCATGAAAAAAAGTTCACTGTGTTCTTATTCTATCATTAGTCCCTCCTAACTGTCCACAGCATCAGTGAAACTCTTAAATCCCAGAAAGTAAGCATAACGTATACTGTCTTCATTTTGAGTTATGATTATGAGATAACAGACTCCTCTCCCAACAATTTGTTTCTACTAGCAATCTTTGATCAATACGTCAAATTATGCCATATGTTTTGTAAGACAAAAGGTGGCTTCCGAATACAAATATTTTTACAATAAAGTGTTACCTTTTTCCAGTAGATGAGAGTCTTACAAATAGTTTGTTGGTGATGGGAACAACTTTCTGGATAAACACCTGTTGATCGTCTCGCTCTCCAAAAGGTCCTTGATCAGAAAACAAAAATGTCAAAAAATTAAAATTTTAGTTCTTTCATTTTACAAAAGGAACATTACTCTTAATACAAGAAAAGAATTTCTCATACATACCAATATGGTATCACATTTCAGCTCACAATCAGACATGGAATAAATGTATACAAGTACTTCAATTTGCATTAAAAATTTTTTAAAGAAATACACAATTATTTCTAACTTATATTTTATATATAACTAAGGCTGTAAAAGCTAAAGGAAAAAATGTCCTAAGGTGCTACGTTAACAGTACTAGCCGGAGACCTGTTAAGATATTTACTATCTTTGGGGATGTGCTTAGATTCTTATAACTTAAAAAAGACATATACATCAAGTCATTTCATGTACTGATTTTACTTTTTTGAGAAGACAACACAGAAAATCTTAAAATATAAAGTGAAACTTCATCAGATGGAATGTAATTAGTTGAAGCTTCTGTTAACCACATTTCTTCCTTTAGTATTTCTTCTTTTTAAGGATGTAAATTAAAAAAACACACACAATTTTATATAAAGTAATTGGTAAACCAAAAGAGAAAAACAAAGTACAGTATGAAGACTAAATTACAGCATAAAATTTACTATTGAGTTGCACCCTGAAGCTTTTCAATCTAAAATGAAAGATTCAATTATTTTCACTTTATTGTATTTGGCAAGACAGATAAATAGCCTATTATATTTTAGAAAGATCCTGAACAATAACGTAAAGAAAAAAGTTTTTGTTTAAAACTTAAACATAAAATTTTAATAATTCTCTTTTCCCATTATACATAGTAGCTAAAATAGTATCAACTTACAATTCATAAAAAGTATTGTAAAAAGGTTTACAATAAAATATTTAAAGACAATACATCCCAAGTTATGTTACACGAAACATACATGTACTTAATAAATGAACCAATGTCATCTTTATTAGTTAGCAAATACTTACACCATACTTAGCATGTGCCACCGTAAATGCTTTCCAAATATAAACTCATTTTAATCACCATAATAACCACTTAAGGGAGGTGCTATTATTTACTATCTCCATTTTAAAGATGAGAAAAATAAGGCACCAAGAGATTACTTAACGAAAGATCTCATAGGTCTTTATATGATGGAAGTGGAATTCAAACAAACCTAAGCTGTCCGGCTCTTCACTATACTATGCAGTTGCTCAATTACTGGAACTTTCTGATCTCTAATTTTATTAAAATGAAATGACAGTCCTCATTCAATAACTCATAAACAAGGTTAAAATAGTGACCATGAATAAAATAACTCAGAATAAAATAACTAGGAATGAGAAGACTATAGAACTGTATCTTCTCTCCCCTTGAACCTCATATTGACATGAGACTGACCCATAATCTATTCTTCATAGCTTAATTCTTTGCCCTCTATTCCCCCACCTCCCATTTATAGTTTCCCTTCCCAAATTGGCTCCTTTCCTTGGAATACAAAATATCCCCAGATCTTTCTTAACTTTAATGAGGGAGAAAGTTGGAGGAATAAAAAATATGACCTTTGATCGCTTCTCGGCCTTTTGGCTAAGATTATGTGTATAAATATGACCTTTGAACTTCCTTGCCTTCCAACTAGCTCCATTACTTCTTTCTTTCATGGACACCTCCAACATCTATTACCCCATTACCCACCACAATGTAGATTCCACCTTTACCACTCTACTGAATCTGGACTCTACTCTGTTCCACTGATCTGTATGTCCAATGATCTCTGAGGATACATATATTTTAAATACCACTATAAAGAGGAATGAAAAACCTCCCTGTCCTCTTTATCTTACTGGGTTTTATAATTAATTCACAGGGCTGTTTATAAATATCTTTGTATTCACAATACACATGCTCTCCTTGAACAATACATCTACTCCTAGGGCTTTCAGGTGCTTCTTATATGCAGAATACTCATAAACATAACTTCTAGTTAAGGTCTTTCTCCAGAGACCAGGTATATCTTCACACCACAGAATAGTATCCATATGTACAATCACTCAAAATACGTAAGTCTGAATTCATCTTTGTTTTCAAAATAAGTTCTTCTTTCTATATTTCTGTATTTAGTAAGTAATACTCAGCTATTCCATTTCCCAAGAATCCTTAGGGTCACTTTAGACTCCTTCCTCTCTCATGCCTGCCACATCTAGTCAATGACCACCATGCACTTTGGTTAATAAATTCCTCCTTTCTGGTTTCCTTGTTTTACTCTCTTAAGTCTTCACTGTCAAGTTTTCTTGCATGCTCTTGAAAGATGAATTATATATATTACAAATCTAGTATCATTCTCAAAATTCTTCAAAAGGTCCCCATTACTTACAAGATAAAATCTAAATTTCTTAGTTTGATGTATAGATGCCTTCCATGATCTGGCACGGGCCTATTCACCGAGTATGTCTTAGTATTCTTACCCACATATCCTATAATCTAACAATTAATGACCTTCCTGACATTCTCCAAACTTGCCAAGTTCCCCTGGCTTCTACCCTTTTAACTTGCTGTTTTCTCTGCCAGGAATGTTCCAACCCTAGAATCTTACACACCCGACAAATGTCTATCCTTCATGTATCAGTTCAAACATTAAAACCTCTATGAAGTGCTGTCTGAATCTCAGCTTCTGTCAACATTAAGTGGGGTATCTACCTCCTAAATTGTCAAGAAGATTAAATGAGAGCATATATTACAACCTCTAACACAGATCCTGGCACTGTCTCCTCTGGGTTCTTTTTGACCTATGCCTTTAAGCAGAGTTCCAAAATACAATTGTTTCATTTAATTCCTACTGCTCACTACATCGTAAGTTGATGTTCACTGCACTTTTTAAAATGTCTAGTATCTAGAACACAAGCACTCAATAAATATTTGTTGAATAAATAACAATATAAACTTCCAGTGCCTAGCATCATGCAGAGAACTGGGATTACATAACAACTGTTAAAACTGGTAACACTGCATATTTCTCTTTCTAAAAATCATAAGGCTGTGGTAGTAGAATTCTCTTAAGTAGCTTATAAGGACAGTAAGATTCTTTCAAATGGGGCCGGGGGTGGAATGATCTCTATGAAGATTGTGTATGTGTATGCACACGTGTGGATGTGAGTGCCCATGTGCACATGTATGTATGGTGTATAGAGAGAAAACCTAAACTAAACTTATACACCTTTTGCTGAAATCAGAGAATATCAATGGAGACACGCTACACTGTTTCATAATGAATATTACCATGTCATCAAAATGACTCTCATTATATAGGAACATTTTCAAGCTTCAAATTTTATTTTCAGTAGATTAATAAAAAAAATTTCAAATATCAAATGTACACAGCTATCACAGTTTTAATAATAAAAGTAGCTAACGTGAAGATGACACTCTTTAAATGAGGAAACATTAATAAGAAGAAAAATGTGCTCTCCTAACATTTTAATGAAAAATGCTGCAATAAAATAATTTCGTGAATTTATAGAATTTAATCAGAAAAATACACTAAAATTCTGTTTAGAATTTCAAAATTTAAATGAAAACTTTGTATTTAAAACTCGTTTTTATGGTTTTATTAGTTGATATGCTTCTTCTGAACAGCTAATATAGTACCTAAAAATGCCCTAAAATAACTCACCTATGTCATTTCCAGAGGAATAGCTACCATGACTTTCTGTCTCCTCCAGGGAGAGTATCTTGAATGACGCTAAAGGAGTAGAACCTGGTTGAGTAGAGATCATTCCTCTGAATCGTGTTACTGTCCACGTCCGGACATGATTATTATCTGCACAGACTAGCAAAGAAAGAGAACACAAAAGAATGCAAAATTACTTTTAAAAACTCATTTTAACTTTTTTCACAATCATCTACATTAAACACATCAGAGTATAAGTGGCAAATGACATATTTATCTTAAAACTATACGTAATTTGTATCTACTTAACTGAGAAAACTGAGTATGCTTTACCTTGCTGAAAAATATAAGGTATGTCAAGTAAACCTACAGATCCTCATAAAAATAGCTTGTAGGGTATAAATGTAGTAAAGGGTAAAAATAATGTGTGTGTAAGAAAAAAGATGCTGAATATTGTCCTGTTCTGTGGGTAAACTACATAGTAAACAGTTTCCTGGTTTATTTTTCCTAACTATAGAAACTGTTTCTGCTTATGCTACTCAAATATTAACCTAGATCAGGACTTATCGAAAAATTATTGGCACAAATGACAATTGTCAAACATCTTAAGCAATCAGCTATTTATTGCCCACTCATCATTACATTAAGGAAAATTAAGATTCTATACTAAAGCTGAGCAATATTTTTATACAAAGAAAGTCTGCATTTAAAAAACATGCTCCAATTAGTTTTATTTTGCTAACAGAATATTAACTGAGCATATACTAAAATGTCTCCTAATCTATCTCTACTTTTTTTTGTCTGAGTAGATACTCTATTTGAAAATACACACCATAAAATGTATTACTAACGCAAAAACTACTTTTTTGGCATGCTTTAATAAAAAATATACTAATTTTGCCATTCATGATTTTAGAAAATCTGTTATTATTAGCAATGAACTATGAACTCATCCGTAAATATTAGGAAAGTCTCCAAAATTTCTTATATACACACATACATAATATTTACTACCAGGTAAAAATGTGTTACATATTTTACAGTTACACATATTTTAAACAAAACTTTAGAAAGAAATTTAATTTTGGCAAATAGAAATAAGTAACAACTGTGTACTTTCTATTCTTATGTAACAAAATTCTCAATTGCTAGACTGTCAGTTTTCTGGTGAAAAAGGAGACATTTTGTCCTAGGCTATTTAATTTCATGGGAAATCATTTCCTGATTTCACTACTAAGCTTACTAGGATTCTGAAAAATAATTTAAATATTGTTAGTTGATTCAATTGGACAACTATGTCAATTTTGCTAATATCGGTCATCATCCAAAGTTTTTCTTTAAGGGATCAAACTGCACTATAAGGAAAACAATGTCATTACATATGTGTTAATATCCACCAGGTGGCAGAATAACATAACTGAGTATACATAAAATGCTCCAGATTTTTTCTTAAAAAGGATATTTCTCTTGATAAACTTACATAAGTTTCAAACCTACATGAAATATCTGATGTTAAAATACAAGTTTTACAAAGTAGTTCCTTG